GAATCAGCGGATGGAAGACCTCTCTCTCTACCTCTGTAACTCTGCCTTTCAAATAAATAAATAAATCTTAAAAAAAAAAAAAAAAAAAAAAAAAAAAAGAACTAGCATGTAGGGGGCCAGCACTGTGGCTTAACGGGTTAAGCTGTTGCTGTTACACATTTTCTCCTTCCCAGTATAACAGGCAAGCTATTCCCAACATAAGTTCGGTCTTTTTTTTTTTTTTTTTTTTTTTAAGCTTGCTTTATTTATTTAAGAGGCAGAGTTACATATGGAGAAAGGGAGAGCCAGAGAGACATCTTCATCTTCCATCTGCTGGTTCACTCCCTAAATGGCTGCAACAGCTACAGCTGGGTGAGATGGAAGCCAGGAGCCTCTTCTGGGTCTCCCACGCAGGTGCAGGGGCCCAACCACTTGGCATTCTCTGCAGCTTTCCCAGGCCAACAGCACGGAGCTGGATCAGAAGTGGAGCAGCCAGGACTCGAACTAGCACTCATATGGGATGCTGGAACTGCATTGACCTATTATGCCACAGCACCAGCCCCTATGGGTCAGGAATTCAAAAATGGAAAAGTATAATAAAATGAAAATTCCACACATAAATATTCTTAATCTCCAGGAAAAGATCTGAGGAGCTTGTAATCCTATTGTTTCACATTTCTTTTTTTTTTTTTTTTTTTTTTTTTTTTTTTAAGACAGGCAGAGTGGACAGTGAGAGAGAGAGAGACAGAGAGAAAGGTCTCCTCTGCCATTGGTTCACCTTCCAATGGCCGCCGCAGCCGGCACGCTGCGGCCAGCGCACCGCGCTGATCCGAAGCCAGGAGCCAGGTGCTTCTCCTGGTCTCCCATGGGGTGCAGGGCCCAAAGACTTGGGCCATCCTCCACTGCCCTCCCTGGCCACAGCAGAGAGCTGGCCTGGAAGAGGGACAACCGGGACAGAATCTGGCGCCCTGACCAGGACTAGAACCCGGTGTGCTGGCGCCGCTAGGTGGAGGATTAGCCCATTGAGCCGCGGCGCCGACTTGTTCTAACAACATTTTTTCGGGACATCACATGGAAAAATTTTCAATTCACCAAATACACTGACTCTGCGAGGTCTTGAGATAAATGTTATGTGTAGGGGCTGGTGCTGTGGCACAGCAGATAAAGCTGCCGCCTGCAGCACTGGCATTCCATATGGACACTAGTTCAAGTCCCGGCTGCTCCACTTCTGATCCTGCACTCTACTATGGCCTGGGAATGCAATGGAAGACGGTCCAAGTCCTTGGGCCCCTGCACCTGCGTGGGAGACCCGGAAGAAGCTCCTGGCTCCTGGGATTGGATTGGCACAGTTCCAGCCGTTGCGGCCACCTGGGGAGTAAACCAGAGATGGAAGACCTTCTCTCTCTACCTCTGCTTCTCTGTAACTCTGCCTTTCAAATAAACAATTAAATCTTAAAAAAAAAAAGTTATGTGTGATCTTCCTTTGACTTAGCATTCACTTTCTCAGAAACAATACTATGCTAGCTATGAATACAGAAGCCCTGTACATTCTGAAGTGCATTCTAGTACGCATTAAATTGCCATTTGGCTCTACAGCACACATTATTCTGCGAGGTAAAGCTCTCATACCACTAAAATTACAATCTACCTATTAGTATAATTGCACTTAAAGGTGGTTTTCTGCATTTTCAAAACCTATTCAACCCAACAAACCTCTTCACATATAAATGAGTATACTAATCATTTTATAAATCTTTTTATATGAAATGTATATCCAGTATTATTTTTAAAAACCACAAATACAGTATATCTGGATGCACACATATGTGTAAATATAAAGATCATAGAAAATGCACACTATGAAAAAAAAACTAGCATGGATTTCAAACAGTTTATGCACCAAAATAAATTTACTGTTTTAACTCCACTCACTTTTCATGAACTTTTTGAAACCACTTTGTCAATAAAATCATCCTAGATCCATGCTGGTTTGACCCTGTCACTTGAAATGCATGTGTTCAGCTGGCACTGTAGTACAGTAGGTTAAGATGACTATGATGTAAGGATCACACAGCTGCTGGTTCGAGTCCCAGCTGCTCCACTTCCAATCCAGCTCTCTGCGCCTGGGAAAGCAGCAGAACAGGGACCAACTGCTTAGACCCCTGCCACCCACACAGAAGATCCTGAGAGTTCCCGGTTCCTGGCTTCCAGCTGGCCCAGCCATTTGGCCGGGCCAGCCGTTGCCGCCATTTGGGAAATGAACCAATGGATGGAAGATCTTTCTCCCTCTGCTTTTAAAATAAATTAAGTCTTTAAAAAAGCACCAAAAAAAAGAAACGCATACATTCCTGAAAACAATCATATAATTTCATCAAATAGTTTCTATACTGGAAAACAAGTATTTAATACAACACATAATATAGGAAGTGGATATGAAAAATGAGCTATAAAAGCCCTCATTATTTTCATCTTTAATTATACAAATGAAGGTCACGTGCCTCTGTCCTTTCTGAGCACTTAATGTTATTCCTATATCTCCACCGTTGCTGGGTCCTTGGTCTTAAAGATAAACACGAAGTTAAAAACATTAAAATTATTGTGTGTTAAACACAATCCTAGAAATCGTGATCAAAGTATCACTAAAACCAACTAGTGTACTGAAAGTGTTTTCATGTTCAACATTATTTGATGAGCATATTTAGTCTTAATTTTAAATTCACCACTTAGGTTGTAATGTGATAAAAAAGAAAAAGGTGAATGTTTTTGTGGTAAATGCAGAGGTGAATGTTGTCAATGCCTAGATCTCTATCTTAATAATCCTCAGCTTTTTTTGAAGCAGCTTATTCAAAATTATTTTTTAAAAGCACTCATTGAATTCATGAAAATATGAATGAAAAGATCTGCAGGTTGGAATAAAAATTTACAGTGGCGTCAGCAGAATTCCTAAAAATAGGGTAAACTACTAGAAACTTCTTCAGAGAACAGACGCAGGTATCTGGGCCACTTAAAATCAGGCAGGATTAGCGCTTTCTTATTCCCACACTGACTAGGTTTTCCGAAATATTGAATTATTCAATATTCAATATCCGGTTCAATAATTCAACCCCTCCCCCCTTGCTGGGAACCTTTTGTTGACTACTTTCTCCGCCTTGATATATTAATTATTGATAATTTTCTCACGTGCTTCCACTTGTCTTTCCGCCCCCAAAATAGATTAAAACACAGAACAAGACCCGCAAAAGCCTTGGGCAGCGCGCGTGTCTCTGTAGGGTTCGGGGAGCCCCCCCGCCCGGCTGCGGCGGCCTGGGGCGGGGGAGTCCCGCACGCGGCTCAGGGAACGCGGGGCCTCTAATCCGCTGGCTTCCGATCAGCGAACCCCGATTTCCCCCGGCGGGGCCTTGCACCTGCCAGCTGCCGGCTGTAACCAGCAGCTGCTCCAGTCGAGCGGCCGTCTCGGGCCAGGCGGCACGGCGGCAGCCGGGCAACGCCGACCCAGCCCACGCGCGGCCGCCGCGCCGAGGTTCCCACCACACCTGCGAGGCCGCCACCCGGTCGGGCGTGGGGCGCAGCGAGGGGCCGCCGCGGCAGGCGCCCCCCACCCCGAGACGAGGGGCGGAGACGGGGCTCCGATCACCCCCTGGGGCCGCAGCCCACCGCTTCCGAGGCAGGGGAGGCCACCTCGCCGGCCAAAGGCTGTCCACGTCCCTTCGGAAGTCGGGCAATCCACAGCCCGGTGCCGGGCTCGCCTCAGAAGAGGTGTGAGGGGCTTGGGGAGACGGCGCTGCTGCGAGAACGCAAACAGCGTGTAGGGGACCCCGTCGCCCCAACATCTCCCTGCACCCCCTTTGAATCGGGGGCGCCCAGGACCAGAGCCCGGTGCACCCGTCCACCTCCCTCCCGGGCGACCCCCGCTGCACCCCGGCCCAGCGGCATTGTGAGGCGCTGTCACCCGCACCCCGCTGCCGCCCCCGCGTCGCAATCCCCCACCTCGGAGCGCCGGCGAGGCGGTGCGCCCCTCGCGCTCGGCGAACAGGACCCGCGCCGCGAGCCGCAGCCCAGCTCGGCCGCCGCCACCGCTTCCGCCCCTCTGGCGGCGTGACCCGGAGTGGGAGGAGCCGGCAAGCCCAGGAGGAGGCGGGGCCTTCTCCTTCCCGGCGCCGCAGCGCTCGCCCCGCCCCCGCCATTTCCGCCGCTGCGCAAAACCTGGAGAGCGGGCGAGTGGGCGGGGCCCGGCTCCGGGGGCGGGGCCCGGCTCCGGGGGGCGGGCTCCGGGCTCCGGGGGCGGGGCCATGCCGCCTGGGCCGGGACGGCAGAGGCCGGCGCCGGGCAGTGGGCAGAAGCCGGCGACTGGACTGTGCTGTCAGTCTCCTGGGACCCTCGTGTGAGCGGTGAGGAGGGGCGGCTCGCGAGGCGTGAGCAGGCCCGGGACGCCATGCCGGGAGTGGGATGGTCTCTCTGACGTCGGGTTCAGGGAGCAGAAGCCGGGACTGGAGTAAGGGGTTTGGGCAGTGAGTGACGTTTCTGGGACCCCAAAGCCTTGCTGTGATGGTTAAGCAAAGAGGGGCTCTCGGGAATAGTGAGCCGTGCCCTGGGGCGGGGCAGAGCGCGCGCGGCCAGTAGGGGCGTGCAGGTGCAAAAAGCGCGCTCTCCAGGATCAAAAGTCACTGTTCCGCCCCAGGAAAGTTACCACCGAGGCTGGAGCCAAAACTGTTTCTTTGGAAAGGGGAGGGGAGGAGGCCAGACCAACCTGTGGACTTGGGCGATGTAAGGTGCACATCTGAAATTAACATGTATGAGTGGGCATTATTGCGAAATGTACCTGTTCTGATTCTTGTCATTGGCATTTTTATGGTATCATTATAAAAAAACTGTTCTTTCTCCAGAAACGATGTAGGCAGTTGTCAGTGGAGTGCACATGGAGAAGCGGTGACAGCAGCTGAGAAGGGAAACGGTTCTATTCGTGATGTTGATGAGGACAGGCGGCAGTCAGATCTGCTGTTAGGTTTACATGTTTTTCCTCAGTTCCCTTTGTGTGCGTTTTCACATGCAAAAATGAAGTTATGAGAAAACTATTTGGAAACATAAGCTTATGGCATAAAAAGAGGATACTGAATTCACAATATCTACTTTTGCTTCCTTCTGCAATGTCATCGATAACAGAATTTTTTAAGGCATACACCACTGCAATAAGAGGGATGGGCGAGGAGATGCAAGCAATAAGATTTTTGAATCTGGAAAGCAGGTGAACAACTCTAAAAGATTTTGCAAACTTAGGAAAGCTGACAGCTAACCCAGCAATCTGAAAAGCCAGTGAGCAACCCTATTTACGGTATATAATGCCCAAATACTCAGGAATTAGCAGTACCAGGTAACTCCCATAGGTGGAAGGGTGTGGTTGAAACCAGGAGGATTGTTTGAAATTATGGTTCAGAAAAGGCTTAATCTCCAGGTGTTTGTCAGCTTCTTGCAATCAGGCGGCTGCCCCTTGCTACAGCAGTAGGCTTTGGGGGAATTCTCCCCTGGAGAGAGTAAAACAAAGTCTGAACTGGAAAGATGCACTATACAATGTGGACAGGAAGTACCATACTGAAAATATGGGGATTCATTGAACATCGACTGGATGTGACCCTCCCCCACTCCTGTCCCTTTCTCATGTGGGTATAGAACCATGACCCCAAAGACATAATCCTTAGAACAAGAACTGTAAGAACTCTCTATGCAAAGCCTGACCAGCCCAAAGAAAATAAAGGGAATGACATCTGGTTTTCCAAATGAAATCCACTCACATCATCCTGTAGTGACCCTTATAGGCAGTAAGCCCCACCTGCATTCTCTAGCATTTAATCAGCTTTTGTTCCAACCTGCTCTCAAGGATGACAGGGAACAAAAGTTGCTGAGCCTGTGCAGAGTGCCTCTACTCTGAAAGAGAGACAGAACAAGCCAACAGAAAAGGCGGCTTGTATTAGATCATACAGACAAATCAGAGAATATTAAATCCACGAAGTAAGAGAATGCTATTTAAATAGAGCACCTGAGAACAAAAAGGAGCTCCTGAAAATTAAGGTTAAAAACTAAGGTAATCTGTCAGAAAATAGGGCAAAAAGATGAAGTGATGGAAAATAGAAAAGGTGAGAAATTTACAATAGCCGGTCAAGAGGTTCCACAGACAAGTTCTACAGAACTTACATTATTGGCTGAATGAGTCAAGAATTTTTTCAGAATTATCCATATTTTTTTAAAAGATTGATTTATTTAAAAGGCAGAGTTAAAGAGAGGCAGAGGCAGAGAAAGAGAGAGAGGTCTTCCATCCTCTGGTTCACTCCCCAAATGGCCGCAGCAGCCAGAACTGGGCCGATCCAAAGCCAGGAGCCAGGAGCTTCTTTCAGGTCTCCCAGTGTGGTGCAGGGGCCCAAGGACTTAGACCATCTTCTACTGCTTTCCCAGGCCATAGCAGAGAGCTGGATCAGAAGTGGAGCAGTTGGGACTTGAACTGGCGCCCATATGGGATGTTGGTACTGCAGGTGGCAGCTTAACCTGCTACGCCACTGCACCGACTCCTGGAATTATCCAAATTTAAAGGGCTTGACCAAGTGGATGAAAACAGACTATAGAATTGTGAAATTACAAACACTAGAAGCAAAGAAAAGCTTCAAGAGAGAGAAAAAAATTCCACATGGAAAATATTAGGATCAGCACATCTGAACTTAAACAGTAACTCTGGAAGCTAGAAGACAAAGGAGAAATTCCTTCAAAATTACAAGGGAAAATGATTTCTAATCAAGAATTCTATAATAAGCAAAGCTCTCAATCAAGGATAGGAGGATTTTTGTTTTGTTTAAAGATTTTTATTTATGTGGCCGGCGCAATAAGAGAATGTCTTCACAGGGATTGGGCCCATTGGTGGAGGTAAGAGTTGAATTAGCAACAAGTTCATGAAAAATTTATAAATGAGAAAGCAACAAGGTTATTAATTACAGAATTTAAAAGTTGCATGGAGAAGGAAAACTAATCATAGAATACCATGTCGCTTAGCTATGAATAGCATTTATCTCACCGTAATAATGTGTACTCCAGGAGTCAGTGCTGTGGCATTAGAGGTTAAGCCACTGCCTGCAATGCCAACATTCCATATGGGTGCTGGTTCAAGTCCCGACTGCTCCTCTTCTGATCCAGCTCTCTGCTAATGCAGCTGGGAAAGCAGCAGAGGATGACCCAAGTGCCTGGGCCCCTGAACCCTTGTGGGAAACCTGGATGAAGCCTTTGGCTCCTGGTTTCGGCCTGCAGCCATCTGGGGAGTGAACCAGCTGATGGAGGATCTCTCTCTTTCTGTCTCTACCTCCCTCTCTGTAACTTTGCCTTTCAAAGAAATAAATCTTTTAAAAAATAATATGTACCCTAAATATTTAATGAAAGTATGATATGACTATATTGGAGGCTACAAAATCTGAGATGGGGTGTGTGTGCGTGTGTATGTGTGCGTGTGTGTGTGTGTGTATTGAGAGTTAAGAGTACATGCTTATTTTCTATAGATATTATTAGAAATGAAAAAATCAAGAAGATGCAAAATAAGTATGGTAATTTGACATTTAGAGGTACATTTCAAGACTTAGCTGAAAGAGTTAAAGGTGGTTGCCTATTGTTGGGAATGGGGATTAGTATTTTATAACAGGTCTGTTGAACTGTTTAAATTATATACATTACAACAAATAAAAATAAGAAGGAAATTTTTAAAACATTTTAAAGTAACACACTAGAAACAATTATAAGCTTACAGAAGTTACACAATGTGAAATACTTGTTTATTTTTAGTCCCCTGCTCTCTAAATCAAGCCCTTTTACACAAATGTTTTAATTTGATTTATTTGAAGATCTTTCCTAATGTGTAAGAAAAGATATACTTTTAACACCAGACTCAGTGAAAAATAACTTTTGTAGAGCCTTTTATTGGATGCTGAAATTTTTTAAAGCCATAATGCTAGGATAATAAGTTTTCATTTAGTTCATCAATAGAATTGCAGTGTCCTTAATGACCACATTGCAAATATTTTCCTTTAAGGCATTGGAGACATCTGCCTGTGAGATAAAAGTGTCTACAGAACTATGGATGACGCAAGGACTTTACTTGATATTAAAGAGTACCCTGATACCGAGGTACAAAAAAACCGAGTACTAACTCTAGAAGAATGGCAAGACAAGTGGGTGAGCCACAAAATTGGCTTTCATCAAGAGCAAGGACACAAGTAAGAATGTTTGGTAAATTCCAGAGAAAATGCTCCGTCAGAAACTGACTTTGAAATAGAAGCAATAATATCGGTACACATTACCTGACTGGTTTCAAGATATACATTCTTATCTTTTCGTGTCATAGCATCTATAAATCAAAATGCATCAATGACATGTCATAATTTACTGGAAGTATTTTTTTTCTCTTCCCACCATGTGTAAATGATGGTATGACTTAAAATTGATGGCCTATTAAATTTATGATTTATATGTTTTCTAATTCCCTGTAGCATCTATGTATTGGTCATGCATGTTATGTTATCCACTCAGCCAGGTGAAGCAGTGTGTATGCTTACAGCTCTTTATATTCAGAGTGATGGTGTTCTGACTTTGATGTGTTTAGCTGTTAAAGTATCATCCATATAGGGAAAAGAGAAGCTGAGAGGAATTAATCAGGGAGCTAGGACGGTGAGCAACGTGTTAGTGATAGGGGGCCTGGTAGCAGCAGTAAAGCATGGGGCCAGTGCTGAACAATGTGCTTAGTCCACATCTTCCCGGTTCCAGGCAAACATCCCAGCTCCCTGGGAGATGGCAACTCCTTTTAATCATCATCTTTACATTTGCCCAGCGCTGAGCGGTAGCTGGGGCATCATTGCATAAGTGTTGTATGGGTTTTTGCCGTCCTGTGGATGGCCTTAGAAATGCCACATTTCTTCAGAGTGAATTAACTCTGAGATCTAAGCTTTTCAAAACTATTTCTGAGATCTGAGTACATTTAGAGAATTTTCCATTAAAAAAACATTAAAGAGGTTTTGGGTCCTTAGGCTTCCACACCACATCACCAAAAATAAAATAAAAAATAAAATAGCAAGAAAGAGGTAGGTAGGTAGGTAGATAAAATTAATATTTTCTGGAGTAAAATATTTTCTGTTGTGGTATAGTGGGCAAAGCCACCACTTGTGACAGTGGCATCCCATATGGGGTGCCAATTCATGTCTCAGCTGTTCCACTTCTGATCCAGCCCCATGCAAATGGCCTAGGAAAACCAGTGAAAGATGGCCTAAGTTCTTAGGCCCCTGCTACCCATCGGGGAGACCCAGATGAAACTTCCGGTTTAGCCCTGCCCATTGCAGCCACTTGGGAAGTGAACCAGTGGATGGAACATCTCTCTGTCTCTCCCTCTCTCTGTGTAACTCTTTCAAAAAAATAAATAAATTTTTAAAAAAGAAAGAGAAATTAATATTTTGCAGTCTCATAAGGAAAAAACTTATTATTTATTTGAGAGTTGAGTTGCACAGAGAGGGAGAAACAGAGAGAAAGGTCTTCTGTCTGCTGGTTCACTCCCCAAATGGCCACAACGGCTGGAGCCAAGCCAATCTGAAGGCAGAAGCCAGGAGTTTCTTCTGGGTCTCTCACGTGGGTGCAGGGGCCCAAGAACTTGGGCCATCTTCCACTGCCTTCCCAGGCCCTTAGCAAAGAGTTGGATTGGAAGAGGAGCAGACGAAACAGGCACCATGGGTGGAGGCTTAGCCTACTGTGCCACAGCACTGGCCCCTATTTTTTTTTTAATTACTAATCAGGAAAGCCCCAGGTGCAAGTCAGATTCACCACTAACTAGCTGTGTGACTGAGCAAGTTACTTCACCTTGGTATTTTTGGTATTGAAATTGGTGATTGTAATAATTGAGGTACCTACTTTTGTTAAGGTCTTGGAGAATATTAAGTAAAATATTGCATGAAAAATACTTAGTATCATATAATTGTATTCCTGGCCTGTTTGTATTGGGCCAATTTGAAAAACAAATAAGCGAGAGCTTTTTTTTCTTCCCAGGCTACTAAAGAAACATCTGGACGCTTTTCTGAAAGGCGAGAGTGGACTGAGGGTGTTTTTTCCTCTTTGTGGAAAAGCAGTCGAGATGAAATGGTACGAGCAGATAAGCATTAACACACTCTATTGTCTTGATGACAGACTCCTTGAATGAATACTTAACAGATTGTAGATTTAAAAATTAGGTTCACAGAAAATGTGAATTTATTTATATATATAGTGATATATATATCAGTGATGGGTCTAATAATTATAAATAATATTTTCAAATAGTAAGCAACCAAGTAGAAACAGACAAGACTCATCTTTCTGAGTAGCATTTCAAAGAAAAAGACTTAGTTTGGAATCAGAGGGAGAAAAACCAGCCTTCCCTCTTACATCTACCTCTTTTTGCATGGTTTAGTTCTTGGAGGTGGTTTGGGAATTTAACTAAAATAACTTTTCAGGGGTGGGGAATGTATGGCTCATGAAATCATTCATTGTGGCCCTGCCAAGGCAACCACAGGCAGGACTAGACATTCAGTACATCTATATAGCAGGCTAGTATTTAAGTTGATTATTTTGTGTGGCCCATGAGAGATGTTACTAATATCCAAATGTCCCTTGTCAGAAAAAAGGTTCCCCAACCCTGCTAGAATATTTGAAACGCAGGCAGACAGAAAAGTTCAGCACACAGTTCTACTCAGTCTTCCCCTCCCACTTCGAGAACATAGGAGTTTTTGTTGCCATGAATCACTGATACAAAACGAGCGATGAAGCAAGTATTCCTCGTAATTCTCTACAAAGAGAATTCACGTCATTCAACAAGCCACTATTACTATGGGTTACCCAAAAGGCACAAACCTGGAAATCCTTTTCTATCAGAATCCTATTACAATCATAAAACATAGTCATAGTCATACCTGCCAAGACATGCATTCATTTGTAAACGTTGAATGTTGACAACTTTGGCCATTAAGCTAGAAAAAAAGGACATATAGGAAAGGTTAATAAATGCAAGATATAGTAACATAAAAATCCTCTGTTGCCTATATGAATATTTTGATCAGAAATGGAATTTTTTAACTTTTATTTAATGAATATAAATTTCCAAATACAGCTTATGGATTACAGTGGTTTCCCCCTCCCACCTGCAACCCTCCCCTTTCCCTCTCCCTCTCCCCTTCCATTCACATCAAGATTCATTTTCAGTTCTCTTTATATACAGAAGATCAGTTTAGCATACATTAAGTAAAGATTTCAACAGTTTACACCCATATAGAAACACAAAGTGAAAAATACTGTTTGAGTACTAGTTATAGCATTAAACCACAATGTACAGCACATTAAGGACAGAGATCCTACATGAGGAGTAAGTGCACAGTGACTCCTGTTGTTGACTTCACAAATTGACACTCTTGTTTATGGCATCAGTAATCACCCTAGGCTCTTGTCATGAGTTGCCAAGGCTATGGAAGCCTTTTGAGTTCACCAACTCTGATCATATTTAGACAAGGTCGTAGTCAGAGTGGAAGTTCTCTCCTCCCTTCAGAGAAAGGTACCTCCTTCTTTGATGACCTGCAGAAATGGAATTTTTGCAACCCATGCTCTCTCAATTTGTAGCCAAGAGAATTTGCTGAATGACTAGTATGGCTTAAGATGCATATATGGCCATAAAATTGGGAACATTTAAATATTATTAGACCTATGTCTTCACCAACTCACTGAACTAAGAAAGAAGCTTACTTTGGAAATCACCTACAAGAAAATTATTAACTCTGTAAACAGATTGTGTTACGGAACCATCATAAATGGTAGCAGTTCAATTCCAGCGGGGATTTCAGGTGACATTAGGAAAATGATAGGATTAAATGGCCAGTTAAATGCAACTGTTGAATATTTTACATCTAAAGCCATTTGTAATAAAAATCTTAGAACTGAGCAACTGTAATGGCTTATAAGTTGTTAAAGAGGAGGATTTTTTATTTATGTACCTATGCATTGACTTCTGTACAAATATCAGATGTGAATAAATATTCTGATTGAAGCGGTTACAATAGGGGCCGGTGCTGTGGCGCAGCGGGTTAACGCCCTGGCCTGAAGTGCCGGCATCCCATATGGACGCCGGTTCGAGACCCGGCTGCTCCACTTCTGATCCAGCTCTCTGCTAAGGCCTGGGAAAGCAGAAGATGGCCCAAGCCATCTCTCTCTGTCTCTACCTCTCTGTCTTTCAAATAAAAATAATAATAAACTTTAAAAAAAAGGAGGTTACAATGAAATGGTTTAAGATATTTATGTTTTCTTGGTTGTTTGGTTTTCATACCAGGCTATAGTAGATTATGCTTTGTCTTTCCGTTTGTTGACTTGGAAACAAAAACATATTGCAGCCAATCTGGATAACTTTTTTTGTAAACATTTTGTAACTTCAAACAGTGGAGAATAAAAAAAGTTCATTCTATGTAAGCTCACAGATTTCTAAGTAATGCAAAAAGCAAGTTAGTTATTAATGCGTTCCACTTTAGAGCCACTGATCTTTCGTGCTGTGCTCACCAAGAGTATGTATTCTTAAACAGATAATAGATACAGTCAGTCCTACTCTGCTTTTGAAAATGTGATTTTTGTTCTAACTGGGTTCATAGGAACAATGTGAGCATGATTTGAATTTCACATTTTCTTATGCATGATTTTATCTGCAAGAAATATCATGAAAGCAGAAAACTACACTCTGCTGAGCTGTGTACAGATAGAATGCACGCACTTCAGACAGCTCCCAGCTGCCTCAGTTTACCTGGGTACTGTGGGGCACTCCTGTTCACGGCTGGTGTTAAACCCCCCATTTGATTCCCTCCTTCCATCACTTCAGAAATTGCAGCCCTCTCAGCACCCACCTCTACAAGCAAACTTCAGGTCTTTTTCGAGTTAAAGTACCACATTTGTAATATTTATATTTCTCATCCATTTAACAGATGTAAACTTATTATAGTTAGGTTTCTGTCATTTTTTCTTTTTAATGTGGCACTGACAAAGAATTTTCATGTTGTGCCCTAACCTCCATTCTCCTTACCGGCCTTGTATTTCTATTGCATAAGCCTTTTGTGCACTGAGGTGATTTTTAGGAAGGCAGGCATTGCATTATAGCAGAACTAACCAGCCTTTTATGTAATTTGACATCAGATCACTACTGTGCTTAGGTGCTTGTGGGACTGACACTGACTTCTCTTCAGCCCAGATCCAATGGCTGAATTCTGTAATTACAAAGCTTATTGAGGAAAATATTACTTATTTGCCTAAGGTAATAAAAAAATAGGTGAAATAGGTGTCTGCCTGTGGCTCCTTAAAGGTGAACCAAATAAAATGTAAAATTCAGATCCTCAGTCAGTTGTCCCTATCTCGGGTTCTCAGTAGGCAGCGTAGTTAATGGCTGCTGTACTGGACAGCAAAGTTTTAGAGAGCAGCACTGATTGAGGAAAATTGAAAAGCATTTCTTCTAGTACAATTCATTTGTATTAAATCACTGTTTTAAGGTATAATTGTACAAATTTTTAGTTTCTTATTGAGGTCATAAAAATCAATTTTCCAGAGTTCCGTCTAACATGAGATTTGAGAGCATATAGATTGGAGCTGGCATTGCAGTACAGTAGGTTAAGCTGCCACTTATGAGCCATCATCCCATATTATAATACAGATTCAAGTCCTGGCTGCTCTGCTTCAGATCCAGCTCCCTGCTAACGTGCTTAGGAAGGCAGCAGAAGATGGCTCAAGTACTTGGGCCCTTGCAACCCCCATGTGAGACCCAAATAGAGTTTCAGGTTCCTGGCTTGAGTCTGGCCCAGACCCAGCTGTTGCAGCCATTTGGGAAGTGAACTAGCAGGTGGGAGATACCCCTTTCACTTTCTCCATCTAGCCACCCCCCCCGCCCCCCCGCCATCCCTCTGCTATTCAAATAAAGAAACAAAACTTTGAATAAGAAAAAAAAAGATCCATTTTCTTACATGTCCTGTGAAACTTGTGAATCTGAATTCATAAAAATTCCTTAAAATTCAGGAAAATAATGTTTACTAGATTATTCTCCTTTAGTTAGGACTGCATTTGAAATAAAATTTAAGTGTAAAATGTGGTTTTATGCAGGTTTGCAGACCGAGGACACAGTGTAGTTGGTGTAGAAATCAGTGAACTTGGGATACGGGAATTTTTCTCGGAGCAGAATCTTTCTTACTCAGAAGAACCGATCACTGAAGTTCCTGGAGCCAAAGTCTTTAAGGTCTGATTTGGTTTGAGTTACTCATTGTCTCCATACTCCCACAAAAAAGGTTTCCTCAGCCTACGTGATGGAGTTTGCAATATAAGTTTCAGTTGACTTCTCCTGATCATACAAACTGACCTGAACATTTTATGTATCTGTAGGTTACTGGACTTAAAATATAGATGATATGTGTTAGCTAGCTGGCTAAAGAGATGTGTGCACGCAAGAGTACTTCCCAAAGTTCATGGACAGTGGAATTAAGAAGTATTTTTATCTTTATGCAAAAGCATTTGGAAATTCATGCATAGTTTTTAATATGATATGCATTTCAATGAACTTCATGCTGACTCCTGTATACATGGCTTTCAAAAAGAAAATCTGCTGTTCATTTCCCCTGAACCTTTAGAGGGGAACGCAGCATCAGCACCACTTACAGCTGGCAGTGGTTGCAGTCTGCGGCCGCAGTGGAGACTCACAGGCACTTGCCCTGCCTGCAGCCCTCTCCGCCCTGGGCTCACCCTCATAGTGCTTCAGTGACCTTCTCTCATCTGCTTATAAACCTGCGTTGGCAACTCATGTTAGGGCAAAACCCAGCAGTCTCCTGTCTCGATGCACCTTCCCATCCTGCCTGCCGCTATCAGCCCAGCTCCGAGACTGCTCAAGTCCATGTCGTGTTAATCCCTCTACAGCGAGCCCCCTTATCCCCCACTATACTGTCAGCCGCCTCTTGTTCAGCCTTTGCTGATGTTCCCAGGCAGGTTCAGACACAGAAACAGAACAGGCCGTTCCCTGTTGGGACGTTTCTCCGTGCCCTCCAGGCTGTGCCCACTGTGGTCAGAGACTGTGTGCAATTCACATCCATTATCTAGAGTTCAGGGTCAGTGTCCCGTACACTAGGTGCTCAGTAAATCAGTGCTTGAATGGTTGAGAGAAAAGGAGGAAGTCAGTGTAACTGCATTTTTCCTATCTTAAAATACTGGACCATTCTGTCCACCTACCTGGTAATTGATTGACTTGCAGATTTATCTTTAGCAGAATGAGTATGGCAGGATTCTTGCTCAAGTAAACACTGCCAGAATTTTAACGAGCTCTGAAATGAGTAATAGCTCAGTGATCCTCAGGGTTTCCCTTTTGGTTTTCTTTTTAGAGTTGACCCAAAAGAATCCCAAACAGGTTTTAAAAGAAAAAAAAAAGTACCATTAACATGCAATAAAATGTTTTATTTTAATTATATTCAATTTGCATTTTATCCTGCCATCCTTGTTTTGCTTGGACTTTCTTTTCTTTCCTTGACCATTCATGCACCTCCCAATTAGGCAGAAAACAATTTTTTTTGTGGTTTCATTCCAGAGTTCTGCGGGGAATATCTCATTGTACTGTTGCAGCATTTTTGATCTTCCCAGGTAGGACTGCGTACTACGTTTGCACTTTTACAGGCGCGAATGTTTGCTGCTCAGTGCTGGGGTTTGGGGGGGGGTGGCGGGGGGGGTCACCCCTCCCATCCATTTGTGCAGCATCCACAAGGGCTTGATTTGAGTCTTGGTTCTGCAGTTATTTTTATCACAGCCCAGACAGCTGCACACTTAGTAAGTTTGTCCTTGGACGGCTCCCAAACTGCAGAAAACATTATTATGACCCAAGGCAGGTAACACAAATGAATTACAAGGTGCGAAGGAAGGCATGATCGCACCTCCCATAGGTTGTCACACACTGTTCCTTGTTGAGCCCCAGTTGTAACTGAATGAAAAGACTGTGGCCACAGGCTCCTAAACGTCTCAGGAGCTGGGGGGCCCCCAGGCCTTGTAGACTCCAGAGAAACAGACATGAGACTCCCATTCCTTACCAGTTGGTGAAATACTTGCACGTGCCATAGAAAACACTGTACATTTTGTTAAAAATTTTGAATTTTCATACATAAAATGTTTCATTTCTTTTTCCTTGCGGTAGAGTAAATATCGGAAAATTTGACAGAATTTGGGATAGAGGAGCATTAGTGGCTGTTAATCCAAGTGATCGAAAACGGTAAGTGACTTGGCTTCATTATATTGGTTTTTCTTTTCTGTTTAAGCCTTCATAATTTAGTATGTGTTCTTTTTCTGAGTTTCAGAAAATTAGCTAGGCTGCAGCTAGATTTTGTTGTTTGAGATTTACCAGTTCCAAGTTCCAATAGCTTATTGCATCTGGAATTAAAAGACTAAGACCAGATTTGTCTAAAAAGTGTAGGATTTATCTATCTACAGGCTCGTGGCTCTGTCCCTTCCAAGCTGTATTACTTGTTCAAGGCTCTCAACTTCTCTAAACCTCCATTTCCTCTTCTGCACTACTGGAATATTTCTACTGATGCCATCGTCACAACCTTTACTAACATGATCAGCTAACACTTCCGTTTGTCAGGCATTGTTTACTATGTTTTAGATAGAATTAACACATTTGATCAACTCACGATCCTGTGAGGTAGATGCTATGAGGATACGGAGATCAGAGTTAAGCATTAGTACCCGGTAGAGCTGAGATCCAAACCCTCATAGTTTGGCTTCACAGTCCGTGCTCCTGGTCACTGCATTGGGCTGCCTCAAAGCATTGTGGGAATCAAAAGAAATGGTATGCACAGGTACTTCAGAAAGTTCACGGAAAAGTGGAACTTTAAAAATGTAAGTTTATTTTGGTGCAAAAAAGTTTGGAAATCCATGCAGAATCTTTTTGTGGTACACGTTTCATGGACTTTGTGAAGAACCCCTTTAAGTGCAGAGATATAACATTTTTACACCAAAATAACCTAACCTGTTCATTCCATTTCCATGAACTTGTGAGGTACGCTTCTGTATGCAGAATGGCTTGTTAACTGTGAAGAACCCTGTAAATACCAGCTAAGACTGTCAGAACACGTGTTGTTGACGTCTTTGGTAACCATCCTTATCATCCCTAGTCTTATTACAAACGAATTGAAATGATCAGAACACATACTGAGAAAAATGTTATCATAGCTACATACATCCCCACTCAAATTATACCCCTGACATCCCTGCTGGGCTATAGTGTGTGAGTATCGACGTTGTTATATGGACTAACACCTGCTCAAAAAGGCCACAATGCACATTACTGAAGTGAAATTTTTATTTTTTTTAAAATTATTCCATGAGGAATGCTTGTTACCAAACCTAATCTTAAATTAGACCATGCCACATCTTCTCACCCTGTGTGTTCCTTTGATGGTAGTTCATGCTCCTGTCTGTCCTCTTTCTGTCTCCACTCTTCCTTTATCCCTTTTCTTGAACCTTCTTCTTCCTCATATGCTTAAAGTCATCATTCCCACAGAGACCAACTGTCTTCTGTTGTATACTTGCTCCTTTAATGATCACTTCAGTCCTATTATACTTTCATTCAATTATTCAACAAGTAGTAATGATGCTTCTGTGATGTTCTGGCTATGTTCTGTGTCAGAGGTGGAGGAAATAACTGAACACACCATCCCTGGCATTTGCCTTTGTCATTTTCGTATTGCCACTGTCTGCATGGCACTTCTCAGGGAACATCAATGTCCTGCATCAACTCTGCACATTTGTGTACTAAATCCATTTGTCTAAGTCTGTAGGTATTCATCCTCTTTTTTGAGGCTAATCTCTCTGGAGACTTTGGCTTGAGTGTTAAAATCCACAAGGCAGTAGGGCGAGCCTGGACGTCACCAGGTGCAGATGGTGTCGATGGTGTTCAGTGGTTTGCCTAGCATCTAACGTGGAGTATGTTTAGCACAAAGTTGAGCATGGTGCGTGTTTATCAAATAAGTATATGGAAACAGATCGGCCTTGGAGCAAGGAAATACACTATTTCTTGCCAAGCCACACCACCTCCCATCCCATTAGATTTTTTTAAAAGATATATTTTATTTGAAAGGCAGAGTTAGAGGGAGGGGGAGAGGGGGAGAGGGAGAGAAGAGGAGGAGGAGGAGGAGAGAGAGAGAGATCTTCCATCTACTGGTTCATTCCCCAAGTGGCTACAACGGCCCGGGGTGCACTAGACCAAAACCAGGAGCCAGGAACTTCAGCTGGGTTCCCACATGGATAGCAGGAGCCCACGCACTTGGGCCATCTTCTACTGCTTTCCCAGGCCATTAGCAGGGAGCTGGATCAGAAGTGGAACCAGCTGGGACTTGAACCTGTGCTCATATGGGATGCCAGTGTCGCGAGCAGTAGCTTAACCTGGTGTTCCACAATGCTGGCCCCTTAGATTTTTTAAAATATATTTATTTATTATTTGAAAGGCAGAGTGACAGAGATAGAGAAAGTGAAAGAGAGACAGACAGAGATCTTCCATCCACTGGTTCACTCCCCAAATGACTGCAACAGCCAGGTCTAGGCCCACCCAAAGCCAGGAGCTTGGAACTCCATCTGGACCTCCCACATGGGTAGTGGGGTCCCAAGAATTTGGGCCATCCTCACTGCCTTCTCAGGCCACCAGCAGAGTAGCAGCACTCAGATATGGGGTGTGAGCACCGCAGGCCGCAGTTAAACTCGCTGTGCCAGAACACATGCTCCTGCCTTAGGCACAAAGACAAGCTGAGTGGCCATTTCTCTCCTGGTTAACCAAAAGTAGTAAGGCCCCTTCTGGGACTCGTATTTAGGGAATGGATTGGCCCTAGACTCTGTGCCTTCCCTAGTTCTCTCTCTCTCTCTCTCTCTCTCTCTCTCTCGGCCGTGTGTGTGTGTGTGTGTGTGTGTATGTGTGTGTGTGTGTGTGAGAGAGAGAGAGAGAGAGAGAGAGAGAGAGAGAGAGAGGTCACAGCCCGAGCACACCTTTGTTACAGGACGGTTACTTATTCGGAAGCAACAGAAGTGAGGAGCTTTATCTCTGCCCTGGTGCCCAGCATCGTAGTCCTGAAAGGGCGCCTTGTCTCGCCGCCAGCTTTTCTTTAGATTGTGCGTTGTCAGGGACTGATGTCTTTTCTACTGTGACTCCTGAGTCTCTGGCATGACAAATCAGCGGCTTCGCCTTTCTCATTTTTCTGAAATTTTTGAGACTGGTGGACGTAGAAGGTCCACACTCCAAGAAGAACAAATCTGTGGGTCCGAGGAAATATGGCCAAACCAGCCAGACAGCAAATGTCTTCCTCCCTCTTTGTCAGGCTGAGTTGAGAGGGAGAGGTCTGTGCTCAGGAGTTTGCTGTGGTTGGCTCGTTCTCTTAGCCGGGAGATCCGTGTTACAAAGCAAAAGGGAATCGCAGCGGCCAGAGCTGAGTGCTGAGCACGGAGCAGGCAGCGTTCTAAGCACTGCATTCACGCTCGCTGAGCAAGTTCTCTCGGCGGGCTGCGACGTGGGTCCCAGTCTCATCCCCGTTTCACAGGTGAGGAAACAGAGACAGAGAGGTTAGGACTTTGTCGAGCTCGCGGAGTGCTAAGTGCAGGGTCTGGGGGTTGAACTCGGCGACTCTGTTCAGCGCTCCCCTCATTTTCACAGAACCCTGCACAACCAGGCTCTGTGGAAACTGGGGTGCCAGGGGCCAGGCCTCCTGCCTCGGTGGGGGGCTGTGGGCCTTCTCCGTCTGTCTCTCATGGCCTCACTCCCACCCTCAGGTTCCTACTCCTACTCCTCCTCTGTTCGCACATATCTGCCTTGCTCCCTCCCCTCAGCCTCCTCAGCCCCAGCCACCCCACAGCGCACAAGCTAACCGGCAACCACTCCTTGGTCTCTTAATTCCGTTTCCAAGTGGAGTCATTTGCCTGGTGTGACTCCTCATCCAGAACCAGGCCCAGCCTCGACTCTTGGCCTCTCTGCTAATAGGTCAGGCAGTCATTAGGAAGCAGATGTGGCTGGGAAGTGGTGCCACCTGTTCTCCAAGGCTCCCACCAGCTCTAGTGGCTTCTACCACACTTGTAGAACTTTCAACTTCCTACTACTTTGTTAGACTGTCTCCTACCACATAGAGGAAAGGGACTGTGATATGCATTTTTTTTTTTTTGACAGGCAGAGTGGACAGTGAGAGAGAGATACAGAGAGAAAGGTCTTGCTTTGCCGTTGGTTCACCCTCCAATGGCCGCCGCAGCCGGCACACCGCACCTATCTGAAGACAGGAACCAGGTGCCTCTCCTGGTCTCCCATGGGGTGCAGGAACCAAGCACTTGGGCCATCCTCCACTGCACTCCCTGGCCACAGCAGAGAGCTGGCCTGGAAGAGGGGCAACTGGGACAGAATCCGGTGCCCCGACCAGGACTAGAACCCGGTGTGCCGGCGCTGCAAGGCGGAGGATTAGCCTAGTGAGCCCCGGCACCGGCCTTGTGATGTGCATTTTAACAGGTACCTCTGGAGAGGTCCTGACCACCCAGGCCCCACAGCAAACCTGCCCTGTCCATGTGCAGGGCCAGAGCCCTGGCAGCTTTGCCTTCAGCAGGTGCCTTGGAGGGTGGGAGCCCTGCCCTTGAGCACACAGAAGTGGCCCAGTTCATTCAGGAACTTCATGGCCAAGGTCTCCAGGCGCTGGCTGCCACAGCAGGTAGAATGGGCCTTTCTCCACCTTGTGTGATGTTTTATGGTCTGACCGCCTCTCCCCATCCATGCCATTTCGCAACGTAGTTCACGTGGTTGTTAGAATTAAACTCAGTAAGGTCAATGCAAGTAAATACGAGCTTCCTGCCTGTGTCTGCTCCCCTCCAGCCCCTGCCTGTGTAGAGCAGTGTAACACACAGCCCCGTGTGTTCTGTGTTTTTTCCAGCTATGTAGATGTCATGTTGTCCCTGCTGAGGAAGGGGTTCCAGTACCTCCTGGCTGTGCTTTCTTACGATCCAACTAAACATGCAGGTAAAGTTCTGCTTTTGTCTGTTTCTCCTTCTAGTTGCCTGGTTTCCTGATTTAATTCTATGACACAGATAAGTGTTCTTTTCTAATGTATCTCATAGGAAGCCTAGTGTTCATATACATGGAGAGAATTGTACTCTTGGCTAATGAGAACCTTGTACATGTTTTTAATGTTCTTTTCAGTTTTGTTTGTCATTCATAACTGTAGAAGAGGGGAAAGCATGGTTCGAATAGAAAAATCTCGTGAGTCCTCAACCCTGGGTAGAACTCTGGCTGCAGTTAGACAGGCACAGCACCAGGGGCAGTGCCAATGCACACGCACAATTTCACCCTCAGGAGATCGGGGGAAGTAACATGGGTGTTAGCAGGAAATCTTTAAGGTACTCTGAATTTTATAATTTCTGAAACCTTGTAACATTTCTGTTATAACTCCTTAGAATCTATAACAAGAATGGTTTCATTTGGATCCAAAGATTGATTTATTTATTTGAAAGGCAGAGTGGCAGAGAGAGACAGACAGAGAAGAGAAAAATCTTTCAGTCACTGGTTCTTGAACACTGAAACTAAACCGTGCTCATTTACTTTATGGACAATAACACTTATTTTCAGGGAGCAATGAAAGCCAAATATGTAGACTTTTAGTTTTTAAGAATCTCCCTTAAAATGTTTTTAATTGAGCTTATTTTAAAGTGCACTGTTTGATAAATATTTACTCATGCTGGTACATTTTTCTATTTGAATACATCAGGTCTTAAAAACCCATTAAAAGGCAAAACCTGGTGTCCCTAATTAGGTCTGAGACAATCGGATGGAACCAGAAATTAATGGAGGCAGCAGTGGGCTCACTGATCTCATTTACATTCCATTCATGAACAGGAGGCCTGTGGGAAGCAAACAGCCGCCCTGTGTGGGGGAGGAGTGTTGCTCTGCTCTGTGCTGCCAGGCAGAGGCAAGGATCCTATGGTCAGAATGTGGGTGAGGGCGGGGGGCCCAGAAACGAGGACCCCAGAACATGAAGAAAACCTCAAAGGCGTTTGCCCCTCTCTGATTCCAAGTCCCTAGCACTGCCTTCCCCTCGGTAAGCAGTTTGCTTCCTCGGGATGACATGCACAAAAGAAGAGTCAGAACGTGCCACCTCTTCCTCTGTTTGCATCATTCGATTGTTCACAGAATGAGTACGCCTAGGGCACTGGAAATAAGCCAAGAGGCGGGCCCTGAGAATTTCTTTCTCTTTAGAATGGAAAGATCTACAGAAATAATTTTTCACATTTCTCTTTTCCCTAGGCCCACCATTTTATGTTCCTGATGCCGAAATTAAAATGTTGTTTGGTAAGTTATGGACTTGTGCTTGACTCTTCAAATCAAGCTGACAGCTAACTGCCTTGAGCTGTTAGTGAACTATTAGTATCTAGAAGTGTAGAAAATTCGGATCTAAAAGTATATGTAGCCAGCGCCATGGCTCACTAGGCTAATCCTCCACCTTGCGGCACCCGTACACCGGGTTCTAGTCCCGGTGGGGGCGCCGGATTCTGTCCCGGTTGCCCCTCTTCCAGGCCAGCTCTCTGCTGTGGCCAGGGAGTGCAGTGGAGGATGGCCCAAGTGCTTGGGCCCTGCACCCCATGGGAGACCAGGAGAAGTACCTGGCTCCTGCCATCGGATCAGCGCAGTGCGCCGGCCGCAGCACGCTGGCTGCGGTAGCCATTGGAGGGTGAACCAACGGCAAAAAGGAGGACCTTTCTCTCTGTCTCTCTCTCTCACTGTCCACTCTGCCTGTCAAAAAAAATAAATTAATTAATTTTAAAAAAAGTATATGTAGAAGACTCTTATGCAAGACTCTTTTATCCTAGAAAAGCATGCAGTCTCTGTATTACTTTTTTAATTCTATTTTTTATGTTAAAGACACCGAAATGTTTAGAAAGATGGTACATGTACTTTTGCCCTTAGGGATTTTATACAATTTAGAATTCAGGAAATTTTCCCTTAGCATTTCCTTATTTTTAGTAAAAATATGAGCCAAGTCTCCAGGACACACTGGAAGTGTTTTTAGCAGAACCTGTGAGGGCACTCCCCGTTGTGCCTGGCTTTGATATACTTTCTTCTTCTTTCAGATACAAAATGCAAGATTCATTGTCTTGAGAAGGTTGATGCATTTGAAGAGCGACATAAAAGTTGGGGAATTGACTACATTTTCGAAAAGCTATATCTACTAACTGAAAAGTAAATCAGACATAAATAAAATTGAGTAACTTCAAAATAGTTTTTGAACAATTGAAAACTATGCCAGGACCCAAAAATATAATGGATGAATTTCTAAAAAAAATTCGTAAAATCATATCACAACTTTTTGTTCAGAAATGCACCTTTTTGGAAGAAAACATATACTAAGGTGTCAGATTAGTGCTTCTGGAGAGGAGAGTATGATTGAGGGCAAGAGATTATACCTGTGTATGTCTTACAGATGGCAAGAAATTATTACGATCAGCATGTATTACTTATTAGAGTAAAATTACTTTGAAAAGAAAAGAAAAATGCAGTTATATACAAATTAACAAAATAGCTACAGAAACACATTCTTTATGGAATTTAGAATGGCTAAAGAAATGTACTATTTCAATAGAGTTTGAAGTAGCCCAATAAATAATATAAAAATTAGCTTTTACTATAAACCCTCATCTTATGCTCAAATCCTAGCACCACTTTTGACCCATTTTCTTCCATGCAAAATTTTATATGTAACAGAATCAAGAAACGGGAATTTTTAATTGAATAAACCAACCTATGTAGAGCAAAATCTTTTTCTGAAACTGTAAGAATAAATTTCTAAAGATGTTTTTCTGAGTTTGGCAATTGTTTGTTTCTTCCTTGTTTACATGATCAGGCCTTAGGAAGTGTAACACATTTAGGGCTGGATTCATGTCTGAAAACTTAGATTCAAATCTCTGGGTTTTTCATTAATAATCACGTTTTAGTAAGTCACATATTCCTCTCAAATCCTGTATTAGCATTTTTTTAAATCAGCTCATGTCAATAAGATGGAGTGTGTTAAAAAAATGTAAGTTACAGGAGCAGGTGTGGTAGCATAGCAGTTAAAGCCTGGTACGAGTCCCAGCTGCTCCACTTCTGATCCAGCTCCCTTCTAATGCACCTGGGAAAGCAGCAGCAGATGGCCCAAGTCTTTGGTTCCCTGCCACCCACTTGGGAGACCCAGAAGCTCTTGGCTCCTGGGTTTGAATTGGTCTAGCTCTGGCCATTGTGGCCATTTGGGAAGTGAACCAGCAGTTGGAAGATCTCACTCTCTGTCTCTCTTTAACTCTTTCAAATAAATAAGTCTTTAGAAAAGCAAAATATAAGTTACAATAAGTCCCCATTTATCTGTGGTTTTACTTTCCATGATTTCATTACCCTCCATCTACTGTGGTCTGAAAATATTAAAAATTCCAGAAATAAATGAATTGTGTGTTTTGAGTAGAATGGTGAAATCTATTGCTATCCTGCCTTTTCTCACTTGGGACATGAATCATGCCTTGTCCAGCTGTGTACACTCTCCACCCTCTGGTCAGTTAGCAGCCACCTGGGTTATCAGATCTATCATGGCAGTATCACAGGGCTTGTGCTCAAGTGAACCTTAGATAGTGAAAATGGCCCAAAGGGGAGGAGTAGTAGTGTTGGCCATTTGGATATGCTGAAGAGAAGGTGTACGGTGCTTCCTGTAAATGCAGAGGTAAAAGTGTAATGAGATATTTTGAGAGAGCATATTCAAATAACTTTTATTACAATATATTAATTGTTCTATTTTATTATTTATACTTAGTTACTGTTTTTAATATCTCATTGTGCCTAATCTATGAATTCATCATTGGTGTATATTTGTAGGAAAAAACATAGCGTATATAGAGTTCAATGGTGCCCATGGTTTCAGACATCCACTGGTGGGGATAGGTCTTAGAACATACCCCTAGGAATAAGAGGGTATTATGTATGTGTGTTCTGGATTACAGTTTGTTGATGGGGAGGTTTTTGAACTCCTTTTTTTTTTTTTTTTAAAGACTTACTTCATTTATTTGAAAGGCACAGTTACAGAGAGGGAGGGAGATACAGAGAAAAATAGAAATCTTTCATCTGCTGGTTCATTTCCTAGAGGGCTGCAATAGCTGGGGCAAAAGCCAGGAGCCAGGAGCTTCATCAGGGTCTGCCACATGGGTGCAAGGGCCCAAGGACTTGAGCCATCTGCTGCTGCTTTCCTAATTAGTAAGGAGCTGGATCAGAAGTGGAGCAGCTGGGACTTGAACCGATGTCCATATGGGATGCTGGCCCTTCAAGCAGCGGCTTTACCTGTTACACCACAGCGCCGTCCCTGAACCCTTTTAATACTGATGAATTTGGAGGGTCTCCCTTGATCACAATGATTCTAAGACTTGTCCCCATCCTATGGTGAGGGCTTCTGGTAGCCATGACCACCAGACTTCACAGTGACCTAAGCTGGGCCAATCTGATTCTCTTCAGAAAGACAAGTTGGCTGCTTAGAGGGTGACACTGTAACATGTACTCCCAGGAGTGGGGGCAGCCACGTGCTACCACGTAGAACTGAGGAATCGAAGAATGTGGATCTACAGAGAGAAGCAGTGGTGAGCATGGGAGAGAATCATCCTTTGTGTAATTTGTGTATGCTTGAGGGAACACTGACTTCATTTGTTTTTTAAAATTTCAGTGTGAAAGGTATGTCACAAATTATTTTAAAGCCATTGAATTATTTTCAGAATTTTCCAAAAATACCCTTTATTTAACATTTAATTTAAATAACAGGGGCTGGCCCCATGGCGTAGTGGGTAAAGCCACTGCCTGCGGTGCTGGCATCCCATATAGGCACCAGTTCAAGTCCCAGCTGCTCCACTTCTGATCCAGCTCCCTGCTGTGGCCTGGGAAAGCAGTGGAAGATGGCCCAGGTCCTTGAGTTGCTGCACCTGTGTGGGAGACCTGGCAGAAACTCCAGGCTCCTGGCTTCGGATCGGCACAGCTCCAGCCTTTGCCGTCATTTAGGGAGTGAACCAGCGGATGGAAGACCTCTCTCTCTCTCTCTCTCTCTCTGCCTTTGTAACTCTGCCTTTCTTTTTGTCTTCTTTCTTATTTGAAAGTCAGAGTTACAGAGAGGCAGAGGCAGAGACAGAGAGAGAGGTCTTCCATCCACTGGTTCACTCCCCAAATGGCCACAATGGCCAGAGCTGGGCCCATCTGAAGCCAGGAGCCAGGAGTTTCTAATGGAACTCAACCAGCACCCAGATGGGATGCCAGCACCACAGGCGGCGGCTTCACCTGCTACACCACAGTGCTGGCCCCTCTGCCTCTCAAAAAATAAATATTTTTCTTAAAGAAATAAAAAATAAAAATAAATAACAGAGTCCCTGAACCGCTATGGGCTGTTCTCGGTGGTCTAAGTGCCCTGTGATGCCCACTCGGCAGGCACGAATGCATCAGCACACTCTTGCTGTTCAGTAGCACACGGAACAGAACCAGAAGTTTAAGTGAGGATTGTGGCTGTGGGTGAATGGGGCGTAAAAACCACAGGAATACAGCCAGAACATTAATGCCTGCCTTCCGGCAAGCTGGGGTGGCCTGAAAGACGGGCCTGGAGGGAGCTACCAGCTGCAAGGGGACTTCTGGGCAGAGTGAAGTGACCCATAGAAGCCCAGCCCACCATGATGGAGTACAGGCAATTCACTCCAGCACACCTGTGCTGGGTACCTGGCATTATTGTAAGGAAAGGAAGCAAGGTAAGATGAGTGTTTGTGCATCCATGTATATGTCTATGGCACACATCTTTAAAGGACCTTCCAAGAGAGATTTCTACTGAACACTTTTTTTTTTTTTGGACAGGCAGAGTTAGACAGTGAGAGAGAGAGAAACATAGAGAAAGGTCTTCCTTTTTCCATTGGTCCACCCCGCAAGTGGCTGCTATGGCCGGTGCGTTGCGGCTGGTGCGCTGCGCTGATCCGAAGCCAGGAGCCAGGTGCTTCTCCTGGTCTCCCATGGGGTGCAGGGCCCAAGCACCTGGGCCATCCTCCACTGCACTCCCGAGCTACAGCAGAGAGCTGGCCTGGAAGAGGAGCAACCGGGACAGAATCCGGCACCCCGACCAGGACTAGAACCTGGTGTGCTGGCGCCACAAGTGGAGGATTAGCCTAGTGAGCGGCGGCACCAGCCTCTACTGAACACTTTTTTTTTTTTTTTTTTTTTTTTTTGCAGGCAGAGTGGACAGTGAGAGAGAGAGACAGAGAGAAAGGTCTTCCTTTGCCGTTGGTTCACCCTCCAATGGCCGCCGTGGCCAGTGCGCTGCAGCCAGCGCACCGTGCTGATCCGAAGCCAGGAGCCAGGTGCCTCTCCTGGTCTTCCATGGGGTGCAGGGCCCAAGCACTTGGGCCATCCTCCACTGCACTCCCTGGCCACAGCAGAGAGCTGGCCTGGAAGAGGGACAACCGGGACAGAATCCGGCACCCCGACCGGGACTAGAACCCGGTGTGCTGGCGCCGCAAGGCAGAGGATTAGCCTAGTGAGCCGCGGCACCGGCCTACTGAACACTTTTTAAAAATCAAGATTGCAGAGCTGATGTTGAGGCACAGCAGGTTAAGACACCACTTGTGATGCCAGCGTCTCATACTGGAGTGCCAGTTTGATTCCTGGCTGCTCTGCTCTGATCCAGCTCCCTGTTAACGTGCCAGGGAAGGCAGCAGAAGATGGTCTAAGTGCTTTGGCCCTTGCCACCTCCATGGGAGCCAGGGTAGAGTTCCTGGCTCTTGGCTTCAGCCTGGCCCAGCTCTGGTTGTTATGGCCATTTGGAGAGTGAACCAGTGAATAGAAGTGTGTGTGCACGCTCTCTTGTATTCTGCCTTTCAAATAACTAAATCTTTAAAAATAGTACTCAAAAAAAAAATCAGAATTGCCTTTAGTGCTTGAGCTCATGGATAAGAGAGAATCCCATATCGGGGTCATAAGCATAGTCACTCTGCTGGTTGCAGCAAGTAATCACATCCCAGATTTATTCATTATGCATGGCCTTCACATACGACCTGAAAATTTATGTCTGAAGATCTGTGACCCCTAATCCGTGGGTATTAACAGAAATCCGTTCCACTATTGGTGTTAACTCTCAACAGCAATTAGAGGGGGATAATCCAGGGAAGTGGTAGCTCAAAATATGAATATTGATTTGCATTTAAATAATTGAACACACAGCTTTCTTGTCAAAAATTTGGGAGTGCAGAAAGTCTTGAAAAGCTGGTAAATCCCAGCCATAGAGATCCTTCCTGCTAAGGCAGGGCTGTCTCTGCCTTCATCAGCTGATCCAGGCGCATGGTTGTATAAAGTTGCAGGCATGTTAAGGAGACTGAATTGTATCTCCACTGTCTTCCCCACTATTTCATCAGCCCTTTCCTGGGTCACTAAATATTTTCCAAGCCAACGTTTTTTAACGGCTTTGTAATTTCTGTCGCTCTGGCTGGCATTCATTCAGCGACTGAGCACTCCTGTTCACCTAGGGCTTAGTTTTCAGAAATAAGAACTAAAGAAAGAGGGAATGACAATAAATGAGATTTTAAGAGTGGGTAAAGAGGTCACTTGGGTTTCACATCCTTGGTAAAGTGGAGGAAGGACCAGTGGGAAGAGGGGGAGTGCTGGCTTGGATTGATGGGATGGCTGGAGCAGACTCTGGCTAATTCCATGGGAAGCAGTGAATGATGCAGAAAATGATCCCAAGGATGGCTCAGCTAGGACGTGTGGATCCCAAACTGGAGAAGACTCAAATGTGTTTTAATTCTGAAGCTTTGCATAATTAAGAAAAATCTCAATTCCCAATCAAATGCCAACAAGTTGTATTTCCTTACTTCAAATTTACCACTAGATTCATTTTTTAAAATGCTATTCTTTTAATAATTCTTATTTTTATCTATTTGAAAGGTGAAGAGACAGAGATGTTCCATCCCTTTTCGCAACAGCCAGGGCTGGACCAGACTGAAGCCAGGATTTCAAGTATGGGTCTTCCACATGGGTGCTAGAGACCCAAGCACTTGAGCCAAGTACTTGTACAAGTGCCTGTGGCCTCTCTCAGGGTGCTCGTTAGCAGGAAGTTGAAGTCAGAAGCAGAGCAGGGACTCCAGTGCAGGCATTACGACAAGGGACATGGAATGCAGGGTGCCCCAAAAGACGTCTAAATCACTGCACCAAAAGCCCGCCCTCCATTAGATTCTTGACGGTTGACCATTAGGGTGGGTTCTGTGTGTGCCACAGCACCACTGCACTAATAACCAAGCAGTAAGGCAATTCCATGAACAGGCTCAGATTTTGCGGCAGCTGTTTCCGGTTAACTTCCTTCAATACCTCCTGTTGATTGGGCTGGAGTCCGGGAGCTCGCAAGCTGGTGCTGCAGTACTGTCGGATACCCCACGGGGGCAGCAAAGGATCAGGAAGGAGAGGGCAGGCTTAGCAGAGGCTGAAGAGAGGGAGATCTCAGCCCCTCCCTCCTGGGGCCCCTGCAGAATAGACGTTTAGCCAGAAATAGCAATGCATTGAGGACTTTAGACAGTTTTAAAACAATGCCGGAGCAGAGACAAGTTAGAAGCAAGTCAGGGACCCAGGAAGTCAGCCTGGGGAGCATTTTGAGAAGGTAACACCTTTGTCACAACCTGGACTAGGTGCAGATCTGTGCTGTTCCACGCCATAGCCACCAGCATGTGGTCACTGATGACGTGAAATTGGGCTTCTCTGAACTTGGATGTGCTGTGTCAAATATACATTGGGCTTTACTTAGTATAGAGCAACAAAAAGGAAAAATATCTTAATATTTTTATAGTGATTATGTGTTAAAGTGATAATATTTGGGTTAAGTAAAATGTTCAGCTAAGTCAGTTTCATCTTTTTCTTTTTACTCTTTACTATTCACAGTTTAATATATATAATTTGTTTTACTTTCAAAAATTTTTTATTCATTTTATTTGAAAAGTAGAGAGACAGAGATCTCCCATCTGTTGGTTCACTCTCTAAATGCCCATAATAATCAGGGCCAGGCCAGGCTTAAGCCAGGAGCCAAGAACCCAATCTGGGTCTCCCATGTGGGAGGCAGACACCCATTTTCAGCCAACTTGAGCCATCATCTACTGCCTCATAGTTTTTAGATCACACTACTTTTCAAAATATTACATTTTTAGTGCCCTATATATATACATATATATATATAAAGATTTGGAACTTTATTTATCTGAAAGGCAGTGGTGAGGGTGGGGAATCTTCACTCCCCTAATGCCCGCAACAGCTTCAGGAGCTTTTACAAACCAATGTTTGCCCAGACTACACCCAGACCAATTAAACCCCTACCGTTTGCAATCAAGTTTGAAATGCACGGTGGGTTCTGTGTACTACCTGGCTTCATATTCCAGCCCAGCCACTTCCTAGCCATGCCAACCTGGACAAGATATTTAATGTCTCTGGACTCCATCACGGAGGATGATGACGAGATTTAAATAAGATGATCCACTGAAGCCACTTCAAGGAGGGCAGGCATGGAACAAGTTCTGCAGCAGGCATCGCTGATGAGAGCAGCTTTCTGGTTTCACATTAACTCCCCTGGAAGACGTTCTCCCAACTGACATCATTCACCCAGTGGGGTTGTTGTATTATCCTAGTACACACCCACAGGCACACACTCACACGAAGGGAGTTTGCACACCTGCCTGACCCTCCTCACCCCCTGGGCAACTTCTGTTGTGTGTCTGTTTCCCTACTCAGAAAACAAAGCGTCTTGAGCAGGGAGATGCTCATCAGACAAGAGACAGACTAACGTGACTCAGACCGGCCAGCCCCAGCACCCAGAACCCAGAGCCGTGGGTTGGAAACACTGCTGGGCACCAGCGTTGAAACCCTGCGTGCCGGTCTTTGCTTTGCACTTATTAAAGGTTTCGCAATAGGGAGCAGCCCGTTCGTCCTGCAGTGTGTGTCCTGCCGCACCAGGCCAGGCAGTCAGGAAACAGGGCCGAGAGCGCCCACCAGGGGGCAGCAGGCCGCGGCCTACGGCGCCGCCGCGCGCGACGTCAGGGCGGAGGCCCCGCCCCGTGGTCGTGACCGTGGGCGGCGCGGGGACAGCGTCCTGCGCGGTGGGAACGCGTCGAGCCGCGCCATGGGGGCCGAGGCCGCGGAGGCCCGGCCGGCGCTGCGGGAGCTGGTGCGCGAAGCCGAGACCAGCCTGCTGGAGTGCAAGGTGTGCTTTGAGAGGTTCGGCCACCGTCAGCAGCGGCGGCCGCGCAACCTGCCCTGTGGCCACGTGGTCTGCCTGGCCTGCGTGGCCGCGCTGGCGCACCCGCGGACGCTGGCCCTCGAGTGCCCCTTCTGCCGGCGAGCCTGCCGCGGCTGCGACACGAGCGACTGCCTGCCGGTGCTGCACTTGCTGGAGCTGCTGGGCTCCGCGCTGCGCCCGTCGCCAGCTGCCCAGCGCGCCGGCCCCAGTGCGCCAGGGGCCCTCAGCTGCCACCAAGCCTTCGGGGGCTGGGGGACGCTGGTCAACCCCACCGGGCTGGCGCTGTGCCCCAAGACGGGGCGGGTCGTGGTAGTGCACGACGGCAAGAGGCGGGTCAAGATCTTTGACTCCGCGGGAGGGTGCGCGCATCAGTTTGGGGAGAAAGGGGACGCTGCCCAGGATGTCAAGTACCCCTTGGATGTCACCGTCACCAACGACTGCTACGTGGTTGTCACCGACGCCGGCGACCGCGCCATCAAAGTGTTCGACTTTTTTGGCCAGATCAAGCTGGTGCTCGGGGGCCAGTTCTCCTTGCCCTGGGGCGTGGAGACCACCCCGCAGAACGGCGTCCTGGTCACTGACGCCGAGGCAGGGTCCCTGCACCTCCTGCAAATCGACTTTGCCGAGGGGCTCCTCCGCGGATCGCAGCTCTTGCAGGCGTCTCTGTGCAGCCCTCGCGGGGTGGCCGTGTCCTGGCTCACCGGGGCCGTGGCCGTGCTGGAGCGGCTGGCCGGCAGCGCCAGGGTGAAGGTGTTCAGTTCCAGGATGCAGCTCCTCAGCCAGGTGGACACCTTTGGGCTGAGCCTCTTCCACCCTCCCCGGATAGTCGCCTCGGCCGTGACCTTTGATCACCAGGGGAATGTGGTCGTCACAGAGACCTCTGGTCCCGCTGTCCTGTGCCTAGGAAAACCCGAGGAGTTCCCAGTCGTGAAGCCCATGATCAGTCACGGGCTTGGCCACCCCGTGGCGCTGGCCTTCACCAAGGAGAATTCGCTTCTCGTGCTGGACTCTGCATCCCACTCTGTCAACGTTTATAAAGCTGACTGGGGCTGAGGGGGTGTCGGGATCCCGGAGCTGCCGCGAGTGATCTGCCTAACCCTGCATAAGTCCCCTCTTCTCATCCAGGCACGCAGGGAAAATTGTAACTGCCTGGCAGGCTCAGAAAAGTTGGGGGCAATTATAAGGAGTAATTAAATCTACCATTTATTGAATGCTTACTCCCCAGTGCTGAGAAATTTGTGACTATTGGATCATTTAATCCGGGATGCCCGGTGAGGTAATGTCTAAAACTCATCCTATCTCAGAGATGAGAAAACTGAGACCCAGAGAGCTTAAATGACTTCCCCAAGGTCACAGTTACCTAGGGGACAGTCAGAGTTTGGCCTCAATCCTGGTTTCAAAACCCCTTGCTCTTAAATAATAGATGTGAGTAGATATGGTTGCTAAGCGTGTTTGCTCTACAAGTAGCTAAGTAGTTAGATGCACAAAGAAAGGAGACTTTGTAGAGTTCAGGAGAAAAAGGATTTTGTGATGGGCATCAGCGTGTCAACTTGCAGTCCCTCTGACGGAATAGAGGTATGTGAGCAGGAAAAACAGCAGACCGTGTCTTTTAGTGCCTGTCTCTCCCCTGTAGGCACTCAGGAAACGCACTGTTGTCTGGTTGAGAAAGGCTTGTGTTGGTGGAGACAGTGCCAGAGGGTGGGCCGAAACTCCCGTTCTCTCGTTCACCACGATAGGTTCATGGCAGAAGTGATTTGCTGGCCATTTTATCATCAGTGGGCATCGGAAGCACGTTGCAATGGGGGCTTTTCTCTGTGCAATTTAAATTTCATCTCTGCCTTGCAAACATTGTGTACTCAATGAACAGTTCCCCTAATCCTTTTAGGCCCCTGGTAAACACTTAAATACTTCTTCAGTTGAAGTGTAGCCTTGACCAAGCTAATACCAGCTTAATGTTGAGACTGAGTAAATGAATGGGTGGAAATTGCAAGGGAAGAGGCGGGTTCTTTCTAGGGTGTGTGTTTTTAGCTAGCGCAAACATCTTAGAGTTTAGGGCTAGACGAATAGTAGCAAAGAACCAGCACCTCAACAGCAGCAGAAGTGGTTTCTCAGGGAGGGAATCATTTCTCAGTGAGAGTTTGCTCTAGGTGAAAGCTGATGATTCTCAACAAAGCAATATTCCGTTTATACGGAGTTTTAATAGCTATGTACATGCTAGAGACAGTTTCCAAATTATGAGTCATGTATGTTCCAAAGATTGTAATTCTGTCTTTTGGAGCTAAAAGTGAGAGCATGCTCCCATGCCAGTCCCAAAAGCCCGTTTTGCCTTCAGTGTTCCTGCCATGTATTACTAATGGTAAGACGTCAGCCACGTTGGCCCACCGTTTGTGAATGTATTCCAAGGAGGAGTTTCAGGGGCAGATCAATCCTACACACACCCCTGTGAAGGTACCCTTAGGTTGATGGCATCACAGATACTCTGAGGAAAAGCTGGAGACGTAAGTTCAGATTTGATAGGACAACCAAGAATTGATCTTAAAACATTTTCCTGAGGAACACTGATATTACAGAGTCTCAGGGTCAGTTGAGTCAGTTCAAGAGATACTCTCTTTGGAATTAGCAATGACAGCATCTGTAACTAGTTAGTTGGCCCTCCATACCTAGGGGTGGGTTCCACGTCCATGGCTTCAACCAACCTACATAGAAAATAAATGAAAGGGCCTGTGTTGTGGTTTTAACAAGTTAAGCAACTGCCTGCTATGCTGGCATCCCATGTGGACACCGGTTTGAGTCCCAGCTGCTCCATTTCTGATCCAGCTCCCTGCTAATATGCCTGGGAAAGCAGCAGAAGATGGCCCAAGTGCATGAGCCCTTACACCCATGTGGGAGACCTGGAAGAAGTTCCTGGCTTCAGCCTGACCCAGTGCCAGCTGTTGCGGCCCCTTGGGGAGTCAACCAACGGATTGAAGAAGTCTCTCTGTTTCTCCCTCTCTTTCTCTGTAACTCTGCCGTTCAAAATAAATAAATATTTTTAAAAAAGGTAATCTAGAGATGATTTGCAGTATGCAGGAGGATGTACACATTGTGAATTTTTTTATGGGGGTGGGGGTGTGTGTGTCCCAGAACCAATCTCTTGAGGGTGCCAGGGAACGAGTGTGAAGCTGTGCCTACACCATGTCCAGACAGCACTCACGGTAAAGCAGTGGCAGATGCAGCACACATGGAGAGATGTGAGCAAGGTTACTGGGTAGATCACCCCACCAGAAAGGTTGAGCACGAAGGGAGGTGATGTGGGTGTGTATCAGAGATGTGACAACAAGCAACCTTGTTAACCGCTACCTCTCCTCCCCAGGTTATCAGGCTTGGCAGTGAGGTGGACAGTTTATGCCTTGCAAGGTCCATAGCAGCTCTCCCCAGGAATGCATTCATGATGCAGGAGCTGAGTGTCCCTGGGCAGGGCACAAAGCTCATTACTCTAGCTCTCCAAGCACACACGCACTAGGGGGTAGTTTCACACATGGAAGGCAGGTATGAAGTTCTGAGCTGTGTTCTTTAGAGCAAGCTTGTTAGAGTTCTTGAGACTTGTCACCCTGAAGTTCAGGTTATTGAAGAAATTGGGGGGTTCTGAGATAAGCAGGAAGAAATAATCCCAGTAAAAAGCAAAAGGTTCCCAGGTGACGGAGGAGAGCAGGAATGACTCTCAGCAACCGAGGCAAAAGAATGCGACCAGAAACAGAAGGAGAAGGAAAGAAGCAGCCCTTCCCAAACATCTACCATGCGCTACCTGCTGAGTCCATACATGCAGACACAGCCTTTTGGCCACTGCCTCAGCAGTGCTTACATCACCCTCCATCTGTTCCACTTTTGCTCAGTTCCCGATCTTTGGGTTACTGCCTGTCTTTGACCTTGTTCTGCCCTGTAGACTTGCCACGTAGACATGGCTTTCCTCGTCTCTCTCCTTGGCATTTTCTAAAGACCTTGGTTCAGAATCATTAATCTCCTCTCTGGCAACTTTAGCTCTGGATCCCATGACCCAAATCTCACCACCTGGCTACTGCCTTACCTAAATTTTTCCCGATACCCCTGCTAAGTGGGGTGCAGACCCCTCAGAAGTGAATTATGCACCTTTTGAGGAAGAAGCATTATGACATGCACCTCAGGGAAAAAGAGGAAGAACCACTATTGATAGCAAATTTAACAATCTCTACACCTGCTACAGAAAGAAGAAACACTCTCGAGGTGAATGTCCCGCTGATAGAAGCTATGCAGGGGAGGCGTATCATGGTGTAGCAGGAGATGACTATTGTCTTGAAGAAATGATAGAAAACATAATAGAGTGCCAACACAGCTGTGGGGAGCAACTGGGAGCAACTCGGACTAGACTAAGTTACTGGAATTAAGACTTATTCTATGCATCTGCTCTTCCACAATATGGCGCTGGGAGAGGAGTAATCAGCTTCTACACAGCTGCCTCCAGTTCAACCAATAAACTGTAGGACCTGCTCCTGATTGGAGGAGAGCAGCGTACTTGGCGTGTGGGTAGCAGAGTTGGGATTGGCGGAAGAGGACTATAAAGGAGGAGAGAGACAACATGCACCAGGAACATCTAAGGGGAACATCTATCTGAAGGAACACCTGTGCAGCCCCCGAGAGAGCCGGCCGGCGGTGTGCCGCTCCCCCGCGGAAGTGGGGAAAGTGGCAGGGAGAACCGCCCTTCCACGGAGGTGGAAGGGTCGGTAGCCAACCCGGGAAGAACCAGCAGCAAACCCAGGGAGGGCCGAGCAGACAAAAGAACAGCGCAGGGTCCTGTGTCATTCCTCCACGAAGAGGGGGAGCGACACACAGCCACTGTCCTGGATAATCATAGGTCTGCTGTGTTCACAGCTCCTTACAGGGAAAAACACCCGTCCCACCAGCCATGTCCAGGAGCCAGTCCTCAGCAACCAAACTCAACTGCAGTAGCCCCTCCAGCAATAGCTGCCTGGTTAGGTGTGTGCATCTGACCCCAAAACAGCCCCACTCTGAGTGATGCCCCATTAAGTGTACTAATGAGACCAGGAAACCGGCTATGCATTGGCATGGGGTGAATAAGCTTTCCTAAAAAAGGGCAAGGAGATCCAGCTGGGTTCTTGGGACTTTTTAGAAATATGGGGCACATTAGGAAGATGGCGGCCTGAAGGGTGCTGCTAATAGGCTCCGTGAGAGGGGCACAGAGGGTCCCTGTGAGCAAGCCAAACCATGAATAAGAGGAGGCTGTGAGGCAGGGGACAGACCCAGCGGCAGGAGTCCAGGTCAGAATGGGAGAGCAAAATGCATCCAGACAAGCTGTAGCTTAGGGTTGTGTTACCACCAGGGGCCAGCTCAAGGATCCCTCCTGCTGAGGTCACTGGAGCTGCACTGACTTCTCTTTGCCTTTCTGCCAGGCGCAGGTGCACTTTGCTTTCTCTCCTTGAAGTCCCAAGAACTCTCTCTAACATTGTATGAGCCCTGGTACAGATGATTCTCCACATAGGATAGTGGGATATCCTGACAAACCCGTGGTAAGTTGAAAACATTGTAAGTGGGAAATGCACTGAATGTACCTGACCTCCCACACATCCTGACTCAGCAACACAACACACTGCTCCCTCATGACTGTGGGGGCTGCCTGGGGGCTACGCTTGCCTGCCACTGCCCGGTATCACCAGAGAGGATGGGATCTCACAGCACTAGCCCAGGGAAAGATCCAAGTTCCACCTTCCAAGTATAGTTCCTAATGCCTGCATATCATTCTTGCACCATTGTGAAGTAAAAAGAAATTTTAAGTGAAACCACCCTATGTTGAAACCATTTGTACTAAATACTCCCTTGCTTCAGCTAACCTAAATTATTTTTTTTTTGGCAACAGAAAGGGCCTAACAAAAGTTATAGTATTTTTGCTAATCTATTTGGAGAAAATTGGACTTAAGTATATTGATCTTAATATCATGAGTTAAGAATCTTGGGACTGGCATCGTTGTGTAGCTTGTTGAGCCACTGCTTGCATATGGGAGGCGGTTCATGTTCTGGCTGCTCTACTTCCGATCCAGCTCTCTTCTATTGCACCTGGGAAAGCAATGGAAAATGGCCTGGGCCTGGACCAGCTCCAAATGTTGAAACTATCTGGGGGAGTGAACCAGTAGATAGAAGATCTCTCTGTAACTCTGCCTTTCAAATAAATAAATAAATCTTTTCTAAAAATCCTAATTCTATGGAAAGAAACACTCTCCCATCAATACATCCCTCACTAATATTTGTGGGACAAGATAGAGTACAGATCAAGCTCACAAACCACAGATCTAAGTATTTATGAATTACAAATCAAGTCAACAAGCTGTTCAATAAAATTCGTTCAATTACCCTACCTTGGCCAAGGCAAATACAAATACTAAGATGTACTTTTGGGGTGGGCATTGGAGCAGAGGTTAAGATGTTTCTTAGGATGCCCACAATCCCATACTGGAGCGCCTTGATTCAAATTTTATCTGCTTCCAATTCCAACTTTCTGCTAATGCTCACCCTGGAGCCAGAAGGTGATAGCACAATTATTTAGGTTCCCGCCACTCATGTGGGAGACCCAGGTGGAGCTTTGGGCTCCTGGCTTTGACCTGCTGTTGTGGGTATTTGGGGAATAAATCAGTGGATGGAGGATCCCTCTATCTCTGTTCCTCTTTCTTTCTGTCTCTGTGCCTTTCAATTAAAATGGAAAGCAACCTCAATGTGTTGATTGAGTGGGTGTTCAAAATTCAGTTAAGATGTACTTTTTGCCAGAGTGTGGGCTCAATTTTCTATAAGATCCTATCTTTGTTGTGAAATCGTCTAAATAATTTATGAATCATGCCTAGTGCCATCTCCTCGTGGAATCGCCATCCGTGGAAGGCTTCCTGTCAGGCTGTGACCTTCTCCCTTCCAGCCAGGTTCAGTCATCACCCTCTCCGTCATGGGGTGAAGGGCGGCTGCCTGCAGCTCTCCTGCTGCCACTCTGAGAAGTGGCTCCTGCCCTGGCAGCAGCAGGATAGGAGGCTTCCTGTCTCGTGTTTGGGACTGGCCTTCCAGTGCGCAGGCTCTGTTATGCTCCCATCAGGGATGACAGCCTTGGCTTTGTCCTTACTCCCAGCTCCATCTTTCCAGTGTGGATCAGACACCTTGGTCCCAGCTTTGTCCTAGCTTTGCTGCTTTGTGCTCCCTTCTCTCTACCCACAGCTGTGATCCAAGCACTTGGACCATCTTCCAGTGCTTTCCCAAGCACATCAGCAGGGCGTTGTATTGGAAGTGGAGCAGCCAGGACTTGAATAGGCATCCATATGGGATGCTGGCGCTGCAGGCTGAGGCTTAACCAGCTATGCCACCGTGCCAGCCCCTGTCTAATGCTACTCTAGATTAAACATCCCCAGAAATCCAAAGTGCTCCAAAATGTAAAAACTTTTGAGCACTGACATGACATCACAAGTGGGAAATTCCACACCTGACCTCATGTGATGGGTCACAGTCAAAATACACAGAACTCTTTAAAATATTGTTAAATTATATTCAGGCTATTGATATAAGGCATATATGAAACATAAATAAATTTTGTGGTTAGATTTGGGTCCTATCCCCCAAATTTCTTATTATATAACATGCAAATATTCACAAATTAGAAAAAAATCCCAAATCTAAAACATAGTTCTGGTCCCCAAAATTTCAGATAAGGGATACTCAACTTGAGAGATCATGGAAGTCATAAAGCTGATATTTTTGGACCATTACAGGGAAAGAGGGAATAAGAGAATGTCAGAAGGAAATGGAATAAAAGATTATTACTGGGGTTGGCAGTGTGGCGTAGTGGGTTAAACTGCCACATGTGATACTGGCTCCACTTCCAATCCAGCTCCCTGCTAATGCACCTGGGGAAGCAGTGGAAGATGGCCCAGGTCCCTGGGTCCCTGTTCCCACATGGGAGACCTGGAGGAGGTTCCTGGTTCTTGGTTTCCATCTGGCCCAGCCCTGACCATTGTAACCATTTGGGAGGTGAACCAGTGGATGGAAGATCTCTCTCTCTCTCTCTCTCTCTCTCTCTTTCCCCCTCTCTCCCTCCCTCCCTCCCTCCACCCCTCTCTCTCTCTGTAAATCTACCTTTCAACCAAAATGAATAAATCTTTTAAAGAAAGGTTATTACCTTCTAGCAGTATGCGATGAGTGCATGTTGGCTATAATCCTCCAGCTCTTGCACATCCTCACCCAGTCCTCACAACTGCTTAAAGTAGCTGCTGTTGGAGTTTTTACAGATATGGAAACTGAGGCACTGAGAGGTTAAATAATTTGCCCAAGGTTACACACTCTGAAAAGCGGCAACCTGTTTAATCTCCCTGAACCTTAGTTTCTTGTCTGTAGAATGGAAATTGACAGCACCTATTTTTCTGGGTATAGGGAACAGATAAGTGCATAAGCGCATACATATGCATTTTTAGGGCAGTATCTGAAAACTCTTGGTAATTATGGCTTTTCTTGGAATATTTAGAGTAAGGCACTATTCATTTAAAAATGATTTAGTTATTTAAAAGCAGAGTCATGGAGAAAGAGAGAGAGCTTCCATCTGCTGGTTCAATCCACAAATGGCTATAATGGCTGGGCTGGGCCAGACTGAGGCCAGAAGCCAGAAGTTTCAACCCAGTTCAGGGGCCCACACACTTGGGCCATCATCCACTGCTCTTCCAGGTGCATTAGTAGGGAGCCTGATCAGAAATGGAGCTGTGACGTGAACCAACACCCATAAGAGATGCTGGCTTTACAGGCTTCAGCTTAACATGTTATGCCACAATGCTGGCCTCGGCCTTATCTCTTCTTCAAAACGTCTCGGCTAAAGACTGTGATGCAGGGAGCCCTCTTTGTTAGTATGTACAAAGAGCCTACCTAATAGCAAAGTCTACAGAGAAGAGCTGAGAGATAAAGGAAGGTAAGGTCCATGCAACATCGTTTGGGCTCCCAAATCTTTCGGTTCCTAAAGTCACATGCAACCTCAGATGTCCTAGTTATCTGAGCCAATAAATTCTTTGTTCTCCTTAAATAAGCAGGAATTCAGTGTCTCTTTCACCTAAAACAGCCTAAAGAGCGAAACACCTAGAAAACACCATGTACTTCAAGGGCTTTGCTTTACATTTCAAGGCAGTAGGGAGCTGGTTTTCCATTTGTGCACCAAGTCCGCAAGAGAACACAATTTGGTTCGCTTGCATTTCGTGAGGGAAATAAAGCTACCAATATGTTGTTTGACTTCTTTTCTTGACAAATGGGTGGAGAGTTGCCTTGTGCCAACTGAAAAGTTTTTTTTTAATTCGTTTGTATCCTTTAGATTATCAGAACTCCTTCAATAGACTTTATTTTTTACCCCAACTCATAGAAGTCTTTTATTGGATTAATTTATTTGAATTCCTTAACAAATTCTTACTCCAAACTTTCTGGTCTCTTGTGGTCTTGCAGTTTACAAGAAGGAAGATTAAGGGCTAACAGCAACATTTCAAGGAAGCCTATGATCGGGGAGATGGTGAGAGACTATGAATCTCCATTTGGGGGACTAGGAGAAAATGTGGGTTCTACAAGATCCTTGGAGGGTGAGATAAGGAAAGTTATAGATTATAAATCACACTGTAGGATGATACCTTCCCATACACATAGTCAAGGAAAAAACCTCAAGTTCATGTATCTGCTTCCTCAGGGAGATCCTTTTTGAAGGAAAAAAGACCCAAAAGATGTAATCAATTCCCATCCTGGATCCTGCAAGGCATTATCCCCATGGCTGCTGAGCCTATTGCCCCCGTGTGTGCTGAGTCTCTGCATTGGCCCATCTGTCTGTTGCCTTTTCCAGGTCTACCTCCCAACAGTGCCTCACTGAGGTGAAGTTTTCCACACCCCACAGCATGGCACTGAAGGCAAATCTCTCCGGGTTGTCAGGCACATCCTGCTGCCTGTCTCTGTTGCATTTCCTGGGACTTCCCCTCTAGCTCTGTGGCAAGCCTGGTCAGTTAATTCAGGCTGGCTTCTCTCAAGTTCAAGTCAAACATGCAGTCTTCCAGCCACAGAAAGTTCAAGTCATTCTCTTCACTCAACACCCAGAATGTTCTTCTTTTTATTTTATTTATTTATTTATTTATTTATTTATTGAAAGGCAGAGTGGACAGTGAGAGAGAGACAGAGACAAAGGTCTTCCTTTTGCCATTGGTTCACCCTCCAATGGCCGCTGCGGCCGGCGCGCTGTGGCCCGCGCACCGCGCTGATCCGATGGCAGGAGCCAGGTACTTCTCCTGGTCTCCCATGCGGGTGCAGGGTCCAAGCACTTGGGCCATCCTCCACTGCACTCCCTGGCCACAGCAGAGAGCTGGCCTGGAACAGGGGCAACCGGGACAGAATCCGGCGCCCCGACTGGGACTAAAACCTGGTGTGCCGGCGCCGCAAGGCAGAGGATTAGCCTAGTGAGCTGGGCGCCGGCCCAGAATGTTCTTCTATTTTCAGATTCAATCATCCCTTTAAAATTTTGCTTCTCAGGGCCGGCGTTGCGGTGCAGCACATTAAGCTGCTGCCTGTGATGCCGTCCCATGTGAGTGCCTGTTCAAGTCCAAACTTCTCTGCTTCTGGTTCAGCTCCCTGCTGATGTGTCTGGGAAAACAGCAGAAAATGGTCCAAGTGCTTGAGCCCCTGCCATTCAGGTAGGAAACCAAGATGGAGTTCCAGGTTCCTGGCTTCAGTCTGGCCCAGCCCTAGCCATTGTGGCCATTTGGGGTGTGAACCAGCAAATGGAAGATTGTTCTTTCTCTCTTCATCTTTAACTCCGCCTTTCAAATAAATAAATAAATGTTTAAAAATTTTTTGCTTGTCTTCCTGAATCATTGCCATTCTTCCTTGCTCATCAGCCAACATGCTTCCAGCTTTGTCAATTTCTCCCTCCACATGTTTAATGTTCCCTGTAATTCTTGCCACATATACCACATGATGTTTGTGCAGCTGGGACTAGAAGCATTTGCTGCAGAGTGTGATTTGGTCATCATCACAGAACAGTGTGGATGTTCCAGCTCTTACAATAGGCATGCGGTGTTGTGCTTTATTTGGGTGCTGAGCCATTTGCACATCCTGGGTACTGTTCCTAAGTGACAATTAGACTCTGTCTGATGTGCAACACTCCCCTGCACTCTGAGAATAAAAAAGACTGAAAAGTGTGGGTCAGATATTATGGTCCAGAGAGGGGTAAGCTGCCACCTGAAACTCCAGCATCCCATATCAGAGTGCTGGTTCAAGTCCCAGCTGCTCCCCTTCAGATCCAGCTTCCTGATAATGTACCTGGAAAAGCAGCTGAAGATGGCACAAGGATTGTGCCCCTGCCACCCATGTGAGGGATCCTGGCTCCTCAGCCTGGTCTTGTCCTGGCTATTGTGGCCATTTGGGAATTGAACCAGCAGATGGAAGATCTCTCTCTGTCACTCCCTCTCTATATTGCTGCTCTGCCTTTCAAATAAATAAATCTTTAAAGGCCTCCTTTGTATTCTGAGCAGGTACATTTAGCAACCTCAGGTGCACAAACATCAAAGATACAAAGAAATACTGCACACAGACAGAGCAGGTCAGCCCATCCTGGACTCCTCAAGTCCAACAAACTTTTGGCTGCCACATACAACCAAGGTTCCCAGAGTTCTCACCAGCAGCTAACAAAGCTGACCCTTTCCCTTCCTCCTGGAACATTTTCTTGTCTTCGCTGTCAAAAGCCTACAGCTGACAGTCCTCTTACTTAGCTTAGAGTGGTTCTCAACATCTTGTTTCAACTCCACATCCCCTGGACCCTCTAAATCTTGGGGTACCGCAAGGCTCAGTTCTGGACTCTCCTTCTATCCTACAGTCTCTCCCTGTATTCATTTCCCTGATCCATAAGACCTTAAAGTTCAGCAGAACCATAGAGATCCTGATGTCTGATTCCCTTGCTTTTTCAAATGAGTAAATTGTAAATTGAAGCATGGAGGGGGCTCAGTAACTTGGAAAAGCTTGGTGGGGGGGGGACAGGACTGCAAACCTTACTGCCATTTTAACTCTCTCCAACTATGGATTTTCAGCAGTGTAATCTGCATGAAATATTTTTCTACATAGACTTGCAGAACTGGAGTCTTAGCAGCTGATGTCGGCTCCCTTGACCCCTTGCACGATTTGGTATTTCCAGATGAATCAAGATTAATCTGATAACCAGACATCTTTCGTGTGGCCAGCATATTTACTTGATACACTAGAACAGCCTATGGGGTCATGTAGAAAAGATCCCTATTTAAGTAAATGTATGAGTTGATTGGGTTTCTGCACTATAGTACTTCTCAGGGCCATCAACGAACTGCTTTGCGTTGTAAATTTCGCCATGGGGTGGGCTTAGACATAGGATACGGGGATTTTCAAGCCTATCTTAGTGCAGATTTGGTGTTCTGGGAAATGCTGTGTTCAGTGTGAGTTTCCACATCTCTCCCAAGGCTGAACAGTCACCCTTCCTGATCTAGCTCTACCCTCATCTTTGGTGTTCTTTCTGGATCTCTTTTTTTTTTTTTTTTTTTTTTTTTTGACAGGCAGAGTGGACAGTGAGAGAGAGAGACAGAGAGAAAGGTCTTCCTTTTGCCGTCGGTTCACCCTCCAATGGCCGCCGGGGCCGGCGCACTGCGGCCGGCGCACCACACTGATCCGATGGCAGGAGCCAGGTGCTTCTCCTGGTCTCCCATGGGGTGCAGGGCCCAAGCACTTGGGCCATCCTCCACTGCACTCCCAGGCCACAGCAGAGAGCTGGCCTGGAATAGGGGCAACCGGGACAGAATCCGGCGCCCCGACCGGGACTAGAACCCGGTGTGCCGGCGCCGCAAGGCAGAGGATTAGCCTAGTGAGTCGCGGCGCCGGCCTCTGGATCTCTATTTCTAAAACCTTCTATATGCATACTCCCTTCACCTTCTCTTTCTCTAAATTTCTGTATGTGACTGTCTTTTAAAAAATATTTATTTATTTATTTGCAAGACAGAGTTACGGAGAGAAAGAGAGAGAGA